AATATGGGCCGTTTTTGAAAATTTAAGAGGGCTAAGAAGACCTAGAAGTAGACTAAGCCTTATTAGAACTGTAAACAAATCTTGACTCAAAATAATTTAAGTATAGTGGAAGAAAGAATGCACTTTCTCTGGAAGAAGAGAACATCATTTGAAACTGCTTCATTTTTAAAACAATATATTCAGAACTGAATAGTAAATTACTAATTACTAAATGTGCCAAAGGACCAAAATACATAATGGAAAACCAAGAGAGAGAAAAAATAGAAATACACCTACAAATTCTCCTGACAAGGCTTTTAAAATAACTGTGATTAAAAATTTAAGAAATTAGAGGAAAAATGAAGAACATAAATTGGGTGCTGAGAAAATTTCACAAAGTAGTGTTTGTGTAACAAATGTATACCAAAATTACACATCTTAGAATTGAAAAGATTTCATATCTGACATTAAGAATTTTAGCTGGTTTAACACCAGAGTAGACACAGCCAAAGATGGGGAACTAATCAAGAATATATTCAAATGGAAGCAGATATTAAAAAATATACAGAATTCAAGAAAAAGAAGTTACAAGAAGAAAACAGTGAAAATGTCTAACAAATATAATTGAACTCTCAAAGAAGAGAAGAGAGTGGGGCAAAACCATTTGCAAGGGTGATGCTGACAATTTCTGAAAAGTGATAAAAGACGTTAACCTACAAATTTAAGAAATAATGAGAATCCCCAAGCACTCTCAATAGAGATTTTAAAAAGTCACCCAGGCACAAACAAAAAGAAAAGTTTTTTTTAAAAAGCTAAGAAAAATAAATCATTGTATAAAAAGGTGCCACACTTGTATGTTCACTGCAGCACTATTTGCAATAACAAAATCAAGGAACCAACCCAAGTACCCATCAGCAATTGAGTGGATAAAGAAAATGTGTCATATGTACACTATGGAATACTTTGCAGCCATAAAAGTGAATGAAATCATGTCCTTTACAGCAACACGGATAAAGTTGGAGAACATCATCTTAAGTTAACTGAATCAGAAACAGAAAGCCAAACACTGTATGGTCTTACCTACATGTAAGAGCTAAATGGCTGTAAAGCCAAACACTGTATGGTCTTACCTACATGTAAGAACTAAATGGTGGGGAGGTGGGTAGAAAAGTTAAGGCTTAGAAGATACCTATTGGGTAAAATGTTCAATTTCTGGAGAAGAGGGTCACCTGAAGCCCAATCCTCATGAATATGCCCATGTAACAAACATGCAATTGTACTTCCTAAATGTAAAACAAAAACAAAATACAACCTTAATGGAAGCAATAGTAATGTTAACAACTGAAGTCTCAATGATGAAAGCCAGAAGACAATGTAACATTAATAGCATCTTTAAAGTACTAAAAGGAAATGGAAATGCCACACTTGACTTTTATGCCTTGCAAAGATATCCTAAAAATGAAGATGAAATGAAATATTTTCAGACACACACACACACACACACACACACACACACACACACACACACACACACACACAAGCTTAGAGAATTCGTTCCTGAGAAACTTGTATTAAAAGAAATTTTAAATGAAGTTCTTCAGCAGAAGAAAAATTATCCCCAATGGAAACACAGAAATGCAAGAAGTAAAGTTGTTTTGATTAAGAAAACCAAGTGAGTAAAAGTAATTGACTATGGATCCAATGTTAACTGTATGATACAATAATATTATGTGGGGCTTAAAATATATGTGAAATATAAATGCATGAAAATTATAAAACAAGGAGAGAATGGGGTAAATGGAATTAAAATGCTCTGAATTTAAATGTCTTTAAAAGACATTTTCAATGTAAGAATTATAGAATTCTCAAGTAAGAAGACGGGAAAAAGATATAAAGTACAAACACTAAACAAAAATAAAGCATGGTTGTATCAGAAAAAGTAAGGAAGAATCATTATTAGAAATAAGGAAGACATTTCATAATGAATATATTACTTATATTATGAATCTTTCATTTAAAATATTTCTTTTGTAAACACCATATAATTGGACCCTGTTTCTTTAGTTTGTCTTCTAATTGGATTAAATTATATTTAATGTAACTTTTGATTGAAATTGTATTTATATCATCTTAACATTTGAAATCCAGAATTTTGCTATAGCTGTCCCAGAGGAACCAGATCATTCCAGATGATCTAATCTCTCTGCACATTGAAATTCCTCATTCAGATCACTTTTGCCTCCAAGTTTTGCAGCCATACAATAGACTAGCAGAAACTAAGTCACATATAACAGCATGGTTGCAAGAAATATGTAAACAAAGGCAGGCCAGAAAGGGTGATGATGGATACTGAGTGGCCTGACCTATAGGATTTGCTGTAAACCAGGTAAAGGGAATAGGAAAGTAAGAAATCCAAAAAGAGGGAAAAGCAGCTTTCAAGATATATTGGCATAGAGTCATGTGATAGAACCAAATTTTTTCATGGCCTCCCTCCTTTTTATACTAAGATTTAGAAACCTGGGCTTAGGAACTCACAGTGCTTTCCCATAATGTATCATAAAGAGCTTTTGTATGCATATGTGACATTGGAGACCTTGGTCAAATGACTTATCCTGTTTAGACTCAGTTTCGTCATATAAAACTCAGTGTAATAGTTACACAACATTACATAATTCATAGAAGTGTTGTAAGGGTTAAATTTAGTAACATAGTGTAAGCATGTAATGTAGACCTGGCACATAGAAGATGTTTAACATGTGTTTCTGATATCTGACAGAGACAGACTCTGGCAGTCTATAATAAGAAAGAGGACTTGCAACAAGTGATGTGCTATTGATTTAATTTTCTTCTTCTTTCAGGATTCTACCCTACTAGGCTAATAGCCAAAGGATATGGTGAGCAGAACTTATGGGGCACATCTGTTCTTGACTCAGATGTGAACACGGTATAATTTCATGTCTACTTGGTGAAACTACTTTTTTTTCCACAAAGAAAAATAAAAGGTAAACAGAGAGAGGATACAAGTATAACATGAGACAATCTATTGTGGAGCCCACAAGAAAATGCTCAGTGAAGTGGGTCACAATTCTTTGAGATTTTATTTCTTGCCCACAAATGAAGAAGCTCCCTAGGGCTAGGTTATTTTTATATATCTATTTTGAAAACAACTTTATTGAAGTTTAAGTTATATGCAATAAAATTCACCAATTTTGTTCAAACAATTAAATAAACTTTGACAAATAACTCAATGGAAACCAACAGGATATAAAATGTTTCTGTCACTTCATAGGCTTCCAGGTGCCTCTTTGAAGCCAATTCTTTCCCTATGACCTGGGCCCTGGGTTACACTGATTTGCTCTCTGACACATTAATTTTACCTTTTCTAGAAGAAGAAATCATACAATACATAGTCTTTGTGGCTGGCATTTTGAGCACAGTGTTTCTCAACTTTTTTGCATTATTGTCCCTCAAAGAGCCTTTTTTCCTAATAGTATTTCCCCCTCCTATAAAATTTTGATGACACTGCTATATCTGTATGTTTATGTACTTTATATAATCTGTGCTTTATACATAGAGTCAGATTATTTCATCTTCAAGAAAAAACATTTTTTCTCCCTTTGGGGACACTTTCATCCCATTGAGAATACATGATTAGTATAATGTTTTTGAGATTCATTAAGGTTGTGTCTATCAGGAGTTGGTTCATTTTTATTGCTGGGTAATATATGATTATATAAAGAGATATTCAAGGAATAAATAAGAATAATTGCAAATGTGTTACAAAGGTAGGTATTGAGTACTTGATTCAGTTACTGTTCTTTGAGTCTCCCTAATGCCAGTAAACATACCTCTAATAGCACAATTGTTCAAATCAGAAATTGAGGAGTGATCAAGACACTTCCCTTCTCCTCAATTTCAGAGAGTCAATTCATTGAAGGCTGCCAATTTCACCTCTAGGTTACTTCTTGAATCTGATCTGATCTCAAGGGATTAGATTTTGCCACTGTAACCCAGTACATTCTAGATGTGCAAGGATATTAATTCTTACCTTAAAAGAGATGGGAAGCCACAGAAGGGATTTAAATAGGAAATGTGACATGACTTGCTTAGTAAAATTAAAAGATTACTAAATCTTTTATAGTAAATAATGGATTAAAATATGAAGAATGAATTAGAAGGGACAGAGTATTTGGGGAAAGAATCTTTCAGGAGTCCAGAGTAGAAATGTTGATGCAATTATTTTATGAATTTGAAAGACATCTGAGGGTAGGAGATGGGAGAACTGGGAGACAGGCTACATTTTCAGTGAGGCCCCCAGGAAGAACTTAGCTAAGGCCCCACTGCTGGATGATAATATAACTATAATGAGAAAGTCAGATAAACCTTCCTATAGCTTGCTGCTGTCTTGACTTAACTGATTTTTTGTCAAATTAATAAGTATCCCAAATGAATCAATTATGAATTTTGGGGGGGTCATTTGTTAATGAGTTAGAAGGAATTAGAGTTTTAGAATCACGCCTACAAGAAAAAAAAATGTGTGTACTTCATGCATCTGCTATCATTCCATTCATCTTACAACTTTTTTCTAGGGGTTACTGTAGTACTAGTATCAGCTCCAGATGGTCACCAATCCTCCTGAAATTTTATGCAAATTGTCTACTTATATATATATACATGTCTCTAGGAGCTTCTCAAAGACTAGAATTCAATTTTTTTTTTTTTTTTTTTTTTAGAAAGCAGGATGTATTGAGAGGACAGAAAAGCTCCCACAGTGGGAGGGTACCCAAGGAGGTTGCCCAAGACTCAATTTTTATTCCTGTTAAAGATTAAGAATTAATGGCTTACTGTATTTTAGGGCTAGGGTATACAAACATGCATATGATATAGACTTCATTCTTAAGCACATACAGTTATGTTATATAAACAGATAAATCACAAAACCACATTGTCCGTGCCGTGAAGAAGATATGAACAAAGAGAAATGTGTCAGTTATGCTGGTGCTTTGTGTCTTCCAGGTGACTTCCAAGTATGACTGGCCACAATAACTCTGGGAATTCCTCTTGCGAACCCATACTGACACCCCATTTAACCAGGCTCTACTTTGTGGTGCTTATTGGAGGGCTGGTGGGCGTTATCTCCATTCTGTTCCTGCTGGCGAAAATGAACACCCGGTCGGTGACCACCACGGCTGTCGTTAACTTGGTGGTTGTGCACAGTGTTTTTCTGTTGACAGTGCCTTTCCGCTTGACCTACCTCATCAAGGAGACTTGGATGTTTGGGCTGCCCTTCTGTAAGTTTGTGAGTGCCATGCTGCACATCCACATGTATCTCACGTTCCTGTTCTATGTGGTGATCCTGGTTACCAGGTATCTTATCTTCTTTAAGTGCAAGGACAAAGTGGAATTCTACAGAAAACTGCATGCTGTGGCTGCGAGTACCAGCATGTGGCTGCTGGTGATTGTCATTGTGGTGCCCCTAGTTGCTTCCCAGTATGGAACTCATGAGGAGTACAACGAGAAGCACTGTTTTAAGTTCCAAAAAGAACTTGCTCGCATGTACGTGCAAGTCATCAACTATGTGATAGTGGCTATTGTCATAGCCGTTGTGGTGGTTCTGTTGGTGCTGCAGATCTTCATCATTATATTGATGATGCGGAAGCTACGCCACTCCTTACTCTCCCACCAGGAGTTCTGGGCTCAATTGAAAAACCTATTTTTTATAGGGATCATCCTTGTTTGTTTCCTACCCTACCAGTTCTTTAGGATCTATTACTTGCGTGTTGTGGCACACTCTAATGTCTGTGACAGCAATGTTGCATTTTATAATGAAATCTTCTTGAGTGTAACAGCAATCAGCTGCTGTGATTTGCTGCTGTTTGTTTTGGGGGGTACCCATTGGTTTAAGCAAAAGATAATTGACCTATGGAATTGTGTTTTGTGCTGTTAACTACAGACTGTAGTATTCATTATTACTCCTTTATATTGAGGGAAAATGGGTACAGGGGAGGTAAGAATATTATTCCATTACACGATCAAAGACATGGCTTGATCTAGCCTAACAAAAGGACAATAACATGTCAGATCACTCACCCCAGTACTTATTTGAGCCTTATGATCTCTGAATCATGCCCACACAAAGACTAGCCAAGTCAAATTCCCTTGAAGTTGCAATACAGCATTATTTCCCAATATAGAATGTCTGGTGCTTGGCCCATCTAGCAGGCAACATGTGTCTAAAGGGTTATAGAGTTTTATTAGCTCACTTTGTTCTTTCTTTATTTTCTTTTCTATTCTTTTCTTTTCTTTTTTTTTGATGTAGGGTCTCATTTTGTTACCCAGACTGGAGTGCAGTGGCATGATCATAGTTTACTGCAGCCTCCAACTCCTGGGATCAAGCAGTCCTCCCACCTCAGCCTTCTGAGTAGCTGGGATTATAGGCATGTGCCACCATGCTTGACTCATTTTTTATTTTTGTAGAGATGTAGTCTCACTATGTTGCCTAGGCTGGTCTCAAGTGATCCTCCCACCTTGGATCCCAAGTTGCCGGGATTACAGGTGTGAGCCACCCCACCTAGCCTCATTAGCTCATTCTAATTTCTTTCATTTGAAATGCAGTTTCATTTCTTCTTAGGCTGTGGACTAGACAGCCCTCTAGTTCTTTTCACCCCACTTCACCTTTGGTAGGTTAATCCTGACCACCATCCAGCTACAAAGACACAAACTCTCCTTGGCCAATTAGATAAGATGTTCCATTCATCTCACAGCCTGACAAAAAACAGATAAGGGGGAAAATATTAAGGAACGTTTCTAGATTATCAAACTCTGGTGGGAAGTCAGTTATCTAAAAATCAAGAGAAACAGAACTCGTGGTCTTTTGCTATAACAAAGTTATTCTAGATTTGCCCTTTGAAAGGTCAATTGTATGGACCTGGAGATCAACTCCCTCAATATCATCAGTTGTGCTATTGCTCAAAAAATCATTTAAAAACTCACAGAACATATCTAAATAATGATGAGATTGTAATTTAGAGAATATTCCTGACCTATGTGCTTCTAGGCATTAAATGAGTTCCCAAGGGAAGTGATTAAACTTTTTTTTTTGTTTGCTTTTTTGAGAGAAATTTTAAATGTCCTAGACCACAGTTAATTTAAATTTTTTGTAGGGGAGGGATAGAAAGTTCTACTGAAATCTTTAAAGTTCCCTTACGCCCTTGAAGTGATATGTTTTGAATAAATGAAAACTGCATTCTTTAAAAAAAAGAACTTTTAGAAGTATATAGAAAAACCATTAATTTAGACTCTGTGATACTAGACTTTGTGAAGAAGATTTTTCAAGACCTGCCTGGGCAACTTCGAGAGCCCTTCTCTACAATAAATCAAAAAATTAACCGGGCGTGGTCGCGCCACCTGTAGTTCCAGCTACTTGGAAGGCTGAGGCGGAAGGATCGCCGGAGCTCAGCAGGTTGAGGCTGCAGTGGCCGACAGCGGCCACTGCACTACAGTTGGGGCGACAGAGTGAGACTCCAACTCAAAAAAAAAAAAAAAAAGATTTCTGAGTATTTGAAGGATGGATGAGTAAACATACTTTAAAGTAATAAAATCACAATGCTTTAAACTATTAAATTGTTTGGACTTTCTTACCACATTCTGAATAATGTTTTGTAAAATCTGATTCATAACTTTTGACATGAGGCAAGTTAACTAATTTTATTTCAAGAACCTCTATGACTGGCCAGGCTGATACACAGGCTTGTGGGTTTTTGATTTCTGGCTCTTTCTCTCCTGTTCATACTTCTATTGCTCTCAGTGTTTCATACTCTTGAACTTTCCCAGTTTCATATTTAATGCTTCAGAAAGTCTAAAGTAATTAATGATACAAATAGAAGTGAATGTATTAAGGGAACTTTTTATTCATCAAAGTAGATCTTTATAATTTAAAGCTTTTTCTTAATTTACTGTCACTCTATGGATCCACAAATGTATCTGCTGAATAAGAAATACCCCTGTGATTTTCTAAATCACTAAAATTACTGAGTCATAAAAATTAATCCTAAGGAAGAAAAGTAGCAACGAAGTTTAAACATTACTTGCTTCCAAATTTTATTTGTGTTTTAAATTTTTATCTGTCCTTTTTAAAAAGTTATGATTCTTTTATTTCTTATTTGTCTTCTTTCTCCATGGATTTCCGTAGTTTTTTTCCTCACTTTGAGCTACAAAATTTGTAAGACAATGATCAAGATCCATAAAAGCTGTAATAAAATTTAAAACACCTACAAAATGTGTAAGAAAATAAAAAAAAATTGCGAGATATTTATTAGGTTTCTTGTCTTATATTATTACTATCATACTTTTATCTTGTAGATTGTATTACATTATCTTTCAAATTTTAGATATGTTGAGGTTAGAAAATTCTGCTTTTCTTTGTATTAATATGCTATAATATTAATATAACATATGAAGGGAATAAAAAGCCGGAGTTTACTTATAAAAAATTGTTTATTTATTCTTGCATGTTGGAACTTCAATCATCTTCAAAGTACTCTCCATTTGATGCAATACATCTATCAAAATGCCTTTTCCACTGCTCAAAACAGTTTTGAACTCACCAATTTTGATGACTTTTAGTGCTTTTGAGGTTTTTCATTTCACCTCTTCCACATCCGCAAAATGTTTCCCTTTGAGGACTTTTTTCACCCAGAGAAGCAAACAAACAAAAAGTCACTCGGGGCAAGATTGGATGAGTAGGGAGGGTGGGGCATAGGGATCACGCTGTTTTTGTTCAAAAACTGCTGAACACTCAGCGTGGTTGTGGGCAGGTGCATTGTCACAGTGGAAGAACCAGTCACCTGTTTGCCACAACTTGGGACATTTCTTCTACAGACCGTGATGGAACCTTCTCAAAACTTCCAGATTAAAAACTTTGGTTGACTGTTTGATCCGGAGGAACAAAGTCCAAGGGTACTACAGGGGACTTACCCTCCAAAAGACAATTCAGTCTCTTTCTTTTGCTCTCCCCATAATATAATATTAATATGCTATAATGTTAATATAACATTGTTATGTTAATATATCATAAAGGGTCTAATTCTGTGGGCCTATAAGAAATAATATTCAAAATATAATATTTAATAATATAAAATATATTCAGCAGTATTTACAGAACAAATAGATACATTTTAGTTGGCCTGTTTTTTGTCTTTACTATAAAAATGACTCTCATGTAGATATGGGGGTGATGGTGACCTCTAGGGCTATTTTTTGGTATCACGTTATAAGAGAGTAGCAGTATTAGCACTTGGTGGTAGGTGCCAGGGACTAGACATCTTGCCTTGCACACAACTGTCTGTACAATAAAGTATTATCAGGTGTGGCTCTGTATTTGAGTGTTCTTCCAGAAATTCATGAAGTGAAGCATATGCTCATAAGAATCAGAGGAATTAATGTGTTTTATTCAGTTTTCATAAACAAGTGGGATTATTTTGTATGGCTTTAATTTTCTGATAATGCCACTATCATGGATATCAAAGAAAGATTTGACTTTGGTTTCCTTAGAACTTTTCCAAGTGTTGTTCATTCCTTTGGAAAATGACATTGTTAATAGTTACACCATCTATGACATTGAAATACACCACTATACACCTATAGGCAGTATCTGTAGCTGTTGCATTCAGGGGGTTATTAGATATAGGTGTCAACATCAGACTGCCTCATTTTATCTCTTTGGTGATTATGCCTAAGCATTCACACAGTAAAATATGTTATTATTTTACTATAAATAACTTGTTCTTTCATTACTCATTTATATTACAATTAGAGCATTATGTATATAAATAATGTATATTATTTATACTACCAGTGTAGAAAGGATATTAGTTTCATTTTAGAATGATGCAATTATTTATGAATTTTATTTTATTTCTTATTATAGAGATGTGGGCTACAAATGAGGGTTAACTACATAAGCAGGCTGCATGCAGGTGAAATTTGGGCTTCTAACTGGCCTTCACTCTCTGGGAGTTGACCAGGTACCCTTTTTGTTGTCATATTCCCCCCATCCCACCTCCCTCCCTCCCCTGACAGTGCCCAGTGACTGCCAATCACTCCCTTGTGCTAATATGGCTAGTGTTCAGGGCCCACTTATGAGTGAGAACATGTAGTACTCAGTTCTTTGTTTCTGAGATAATCCAATTAATATGATGATCTCCAGCTTCATCTTATTTGCTCTGAAGTCCATGAATTTGTCCTTCATTATGGCTGTGTAATACTCTATCATGTATATGTACCACATTTTCTTTATCCATTCCACTTTTGATGGGCAGCAGGGTTGTTCTATGTTTTTGTGATTTTGAATAGTGTGGCAATAAGCATGCGTGTGCAGGTGTGTTTTTTTGTAGAGTGATTTATGTTCCTTTGGGTATATTTCCAGGAGAGGAATTACTGGGTAATATGGGAGGTCAAATTCTAGTTCTTTTAGGAATTGCCATACTGTTTTCCATAGAGGTTGAACTAGTTTGCACTACCACCAAGAGTACAGAAGTGTTCCTTTTTCTCTGTATCCATACCAACATCTGTTGTTTTTTTGATTTATTGTTGATAGCCATCCTTATCAGAGTTGGGGGTATCTCCTTGTAGTTTTATATGTACTTCTATGATGATTAGTGAGGCTGAGCATTTTTTCATGTGCCTGTTGGCTGCTTGTATGTCATCCTTTGAGAAGTGTCTGTTCATGTCTTTTGTCCACTTTTTAATGGGGTTGTTTTCCTTTCAGTTTATTTTAATTCTTTGTAGATTTTGGATGTTAGACTTTTGTCAGATGCATAATGTGTAAATAAATATTTTTTCCCATTCTGTGGGTTGTCTCTTTACTCTCGAATGCTATGCAAAAGATTTTCAGTTTGATGAGGTTCCACTTGTCTATCTTAGCTTTATGGCATTCACCTTTGGAGACTTGGTTAAGAATTTGTCTCCTAGTACAGTGTGCATAAGGGTGCTTCCTTTATTTTCTCATAGGCTTCTTATAGTTTGAGGTTTTATGTTTAGGTATTTGATTCATTTTGAGTTAATTTTTGCA